CAAACAATGATCTTTCTGACCGTTGTTGCTCATCGACTAAGGTCCTTCCGACCTCCATCTCAAGACTATTGTTCTTTCAACCTCTGTCGCCGAACAACTGTCTTTCCAACCTCCATCACCTACCAACTACGATCCTTATGACCTCCATCGCCAGACAACGGTCCTTCCGACCTCTTTTGCCATACTACAATCTTTCAAACATTCGTCGCTAAACTATGATCTTTTCGACCTCTGTCGTCGGCCGACCACTATCCTTCCGATCTCCATCATCAGACAACGGACTTTTTGACTACTGTTGCCCACCAACTATGGTCCTTCAAACCTCCGTCGCCAGGCTACGATCCTTCCAACCTTCATCACTAGACAACGATCTTTCTAACCTTCATCATATGCCGATTACGGGCCTTCCGACCTCCAACACCAGACAACAGTCCTTCCAACCTTTGTCGGTAGATCACAATCTTTCTGACCTCCATCATATGTCAACTATGAAAGGTTCGACCTCCGTCTCCACACTACAATCATTTTTACCTTCATCGCCATCTAACTATGGTCCTTCTGACCTCTTTTCCCAGACAACGTTTTTTTCTTAAAATTATCATCTGCCGACTACGATCTTTTCGACCTCCATCGTTAGACAACTGTCTTTCTGACCATTGTCACTCACCGACTACGATCTTTCCGACCCCCGTCGTTAGACAATGATCTTTCTTACCATTGGCATCTGCTGACTACGGCCCTTCCGACCTCCATCTCTAAACAACGTTCTTTCTGACCATTGTTGTCCGCTTACTACGGTCCTTCCGACCTCCATAGTCAGACAACGGTCTTTCTAACCTCCGTCACTTATAGACTATGGTCCTTCCGATCTCCATTGCCAAACAACGGTCCTTCTGACATCTGTCGCCAGACTACAATATTTTCGACCTACATCGTCTGTCGAATACATAACTTTTGACCTATGTTATCAGACAATGGTCCTTTTGGCCTCTGTCGCCACCGACTACGGTCCTTCCAACCATTGTCACCCGAATACGATTTTTCTGACCTCCGTTGCCCGTTAACTATAACCCTACCGACTAAACGAGCATGTTAATATTGAGTATTTCAATTCCCACAATGTAATGCACTTTATATGATGTATATTTGCTATATTAAACCAAGGCCTTCCCTCAAGGAAATATTTTATTTGTAATTCACTGCAAACACAAGTGGATTCATTCAAACTGGGCCATGCCACATGGTTTTCCCCATTTTCAGGAGTTTTCACATAAAAACTTTGGTGTCTCTTGTGAACACTACACCCTCTATTTTATATGATTGTGTTCTAGATCTTCATACAAAACTAAGACATCAAACTTTATATTTCTCGACCGTAGCAAATATTCCAGGACGGAACAATTCTATATTTTTTTAATTATTAAAGAATTTTACAAAATAAAAGTATTTTTTAGTTGGAGAATTATATTTAACTCAATTAATAATGACTTAAATAATTATTATTTATGATATCCACACCAACATGTTGTAATCATCAAAAAGATTCAATGACATCTCAATTGATTGAGACATCTTTGTTAGACTAGTTTAAATGCACATGCATAAAATGCATGTTGTTAAATTTTTAGATGCAACAACAACAACAACAACATCAAGCCTCTCTCCCACTACATGGGGCTACATGAATCCTTTTTCTTCCATTATGTTATGTTAAGAATCAAATTCTCATTTAAATTTAATGAAGACAGATCACTTCTAAGATTTTCTAATAACTTCTAATATTTTCTAACCAAGACTTTTTAAGTCTATCTCTATCTTTCTCAACATAAGCCAAATTTAATAGATCTAATCTACTCTCTAACCGGATCATCGGAAGGCCGCTGTTTTATGTGACCCAATCATCTAAAGCTAAACTTTTAAATATAGAAAAAATTTTATTTTGATATTTTATATTTTAATTAGAGTTTATATCTAAATAATTTAAAATTTAGACAATTAAGTCAACATAGGTGCATAATTTTAATAGTAATGAGGTTTTAAAAATTAATAAAATATATTTTGTGCATGTTAAAAGATTTTTTAAATTTATACAAAATATTTATAAGATTAAATTAAAAAAAAATGAATAGGTTACTAAATTCTATTTGATTTTTATTTAATGTGACTGATTAAAATAGGTTGCTAATTTGTTCATGAATGTTAGTAACTAATTTTATAAATATATATAAATATTATTTTAATCATTATAATAACAATAATAATAATAATAAAGTGGACAATATCATTTTTACCATATACTAAAAACAGGAGCACAATTTTTTTATAAAACTACAATATAACAATTTTAATTTGTTTCCTACAACAACAACAACATCAAGCCTTTATCCCACTACGTGGGGTCGGCTACATGAATCCTTTTTCTCCATTGTGTCCTATTAAAAGTCAAATTCTCGTTTAAATCTAATAAAGAAAGGTCATTCCTAATATTTTCTAACCAAGTCTTTTTAGGTCTACCCCTACCTTTCTTAACACAAGTCAAATCTAATACCTCTACTCTCCTAACCGGGTCATCGGAAGGCCGCCTTTTTATGTGACCAAACCATCTAAGACTACTCTCTCTAATCTTATCTTCTACTGGAGCTACTCCAACCTTTTCACGTATATGCTCATTTCGTATCCTATCTCTAAGGGTAAAGCCACTCATCCATCTAAGCATCCTCATCTCTGCCACACTTAACTTAGTATTATGCTTCTCTTTTAATGGCCAACATTCGGCACCATAAAGCATTGTAGGCCTCACTACCATCTTATAGAATTTTCCCTTAAGTTTGAGGGGTACATTTCTATCACATAACAAGCCCGATGCATTCCGCCACTTCAACCATCCAACTTGAATTCTGCTGATAATATCCTCATCTATTTCACCATCACTTTGAACAATAGATCCAAAATATCTAAAACGTGTACTCTATCACATAATTTTTTTTCCTAAATACTAAAAATATCTTGATTAATTTTTTTTTCTAAATGTTTCTCAAACTTATTGAAAATAATGCAAAACAATTTTGATTGGTCACTAATTTCTATAATTAAAAAAAAAAAATCTAAAATTGTTAAATCCATCTTCATTATACTTGCACTCTACGGTTTTATTTGGGATGTCTTTCTTACAGCTTCTTAAAGCAGTTTTCTAGCACAAAAAAAAATTTAATTTTTGTGCTAAAAAGCTGTTTTAAGAAGCATAAAGAAAGCCGTCCCAAACGAAGCCTAAATTTTTTTTTTTCTTAAATGCATTTTCTGATTTGAAGTTATTAAAATAAGCACTACAAATCATGACTACCCTATATATTTGACTAAGAAGGAGATTCTATACATAACAAGCCTTTGCTTCAACCTCTCAATATTTTCTTCAATGATGCAGTAGCTTATCATATGGAATAAACTGATTAGTAATCAACAAAAATCTTGAGAAAGAACAAAACATATGGAGTTCACGTAAGACCGCTGATTATATTAATCTTTGAATGAGCTACATGTGCTCCAGACTAAGAGATATAGAACATAATTTACAGGATATTTCTCGAGTACCCATGAATGAAAGCATTTCATTAGGTGCACTTAAAAAACAACATGGAATCAAACTCAATATGGACTTCATTTGGGACGACGACTTTCTTACTGCTTCTTAAAGCAGCTTTTTAATTCAAAAATTAAAAACTTTGAACTAGAGAGCTGCTTTAATAATAAGCAAGAAAGCCGTTTCAAACGAAGTCATAATCATCAACAAAATAAATGAAAAATGAGATTATTACTTTATAAAAAGAATCATTTCTATCTAAAAAATAGTTCATGAAATCTACTAATTTTTTTAAAAAAAGTGCCCAAATAGCACAATTTGATTAAAAAAACTTCAAAAAATGTCCAACTAAAATAATACATTAAACATCATAATATGCGAGTGACAAATTTAAAACTTTCAAATTGCAAAATATGAGACAATTCAAAGAGTGAAAAGACAGAATCAAAATACATCATAGAGATCACTACAATGGACGAGGCTAATATATACAATCTCTCTCTTTTATGCCCAAATTAAAGACAAAATCTCTTATCATTAGTTACTCGTTAGGATCCTTGAATGTTGTAATACAACAAATATAAGCCAATAAAATTTTGATTTACAAAAACTATAATGAAAAATAATACTATGTTATTTGTATTTCTTAACCAAGAAAAACAACTCAAATACCCTAAAAATTAAAATGCATGCATGTCAAATACAAATATACTCAAAATAACTTAGAATAAGCCTCTTGTTTCATACATAATTATAAGTTAAGTAACAAATTAAATTATTTCATTGTATGTGCTTTTGGCCATAATTTTTTTTTTTAATTTTTATAGTACATTTCATTAATTATTTTGTCATAAAACAATCAAATGCTAAATCATAACACAAAATAAAAATATTACATTATTCAAATTATAGTAAAAAGATCTTAATGAATATATGTTTATATATTGACAGAAATATATAATCTCATATTTTATTATTTTAAATAAAATAAATAAATTTATCAATTTGTATTGTTCCTTAATTTTTCTACAACTGGTTGTATATTTATTATTTAATGAGAAATTGAAATAATTTTATTATTTTATAAATTCATTTCATATTTATTTAAAATATATAAATAATTTACACTTTTTAAAATTTTAATATAATAATTCAATATTAATATATTATGTTTTGAATAATAAATATATTCCATATAAACACATCTCCTATAAACTAGTAAAAAAAACTTTATGTGGTAAATTTTTTTTTTAATTGTATGTGGTAAAATTTTAAAAAAATTATTATCAATATTTGTACTTTAATAATCTATAACACTCATGATTTTTCAAAAAAAGAAAACAATAAAAAAATAAAAGCAAGGGGGAAAAAGGTAAAAGTGCAAAAGAGAAAAAGCTCCCTCTTTTACTCTTCCAGTGATAAACCGAGCCGCGTGTTACCCAACACAAAAACAAAAAGCTCCCACTTTTGCCTTCTTCCTCCTCACTGCTTCTACAGTAAACTAAGAGAACAGAGTAAGAGCTCCAATGGAGAATGGTTGGCTCAGTTGAATGCTTCGTTGGAAGACGATTCTCTTCTTTCTTTCCTCGCTTTTCCCAGTTTTTTTTTCAAAAAATGTCTCTTTGTATTCTGTGATTTCGCCTACTTATGGAGTGAATGAATCAGTGAGAGTTAAGGAAGAAGAAGAAGAGGCATGGTAAAGAAAGAGTTCTTCTTGTTTTTTGTTTCGGTGCTTCTGATAAACCCTAGCATGTTCTGCTCTGGATCGAAACTGAGGCCTCCAGCCATTTGGGGAAAGTGTTCGTAAGGATCATTCCATGTCGAGTAGAAACGGTAAATTACTTCGTCGGTGCACTACTAACGGATCCCCAAGCGCATGCGGCCATTCTTGGGAGCCGAGGCACAAAATGCCTAAATCAACTGGGGGAAGTAACCAAGCTCGATCATGGAATCTGAGCATGTTTTGGTTTTTTACTGGCGCCGTGATTGTGTTTCATCTCTTCGCAGTCTTCGTAGTTCTTCCTTTGTATAAGAATGGTGGAAACCGAAGTAACTTTCCTTTTCCTGCGAACTCTTGTTCCGGAAATGAACAGAGAACAGAGACTTCAGTGTTGAAGGAGGACGAGATTAGTGTCAGCTCTACCAGCGGATCAATACCTATTTCCGTGGATTCTGTTATTAATCTTGACCAGTGAGTCATTCCCTGCTCTTTCGCTGCTACTCTTGCCTTTTCCGGCTTGTTTAAGTCTCTCCGATGGCGGAGAAGCCTCGCCGGCTGATCTACGGCCGGTCAAGCTCCGACCTTTCAGAAATATTAGAAATTTTTATTTATTTATTTAGTCATTAGTCGCATGCTTTTATGCTTTATCATTATTTATTTGTTCATTAAAGGAATCTGATTCCTTTAAAAAATTAGATGTTTCTTTTTTGTTTGATAGTGATGAATATCACAAAAGTATTAGGTGAAGAAATTCAAAGTTTAAATTAAAAAGAATAATAAGAAAATTTTAAAAATAAATTACGATCTACAGTAAATTTTTTCAAGATTATGATTTTAAAGACGGGAGCTTTATCTGGTAATGTCGTTACAGTGGAGATCCGACCATGTACGAGAAATTCTGGCGGCAAACAGGCAATGCGGCGGAGCTGGTCATTCCTGGATCGCAGACGATGAGCTATTTCTCCGACGTGACCAATCTCTGTTGGTTTCTCGAGCCGAAGTTTGCGGCGGAGATCAGGCGACTTCATCGTCTTGTCGGCAATGCCATAGCGGGTCCTGACAGGTATATAATCGTTGGAACTGGCTCGTCACAGCTCTTCCAAGCTGCCCTATTTGCCCTGTCCACGTCTCCTGAAGTTTTCGGCCATGGTGGTGGTGGCCGGCCGCTCCCCGTTGTGTCTTCTGTGCCATACTACTCGGTGAGGAATTTGGTGAAATCTGATCTTATTATAAGTCTTTGGAAAATGTTTTGGTTGGGATTTAATATAATTTGAATGTTTTGTTAGATGAGTTTAATGATTTTGATTGTTATCTTGTAAAATTGATGGGATTGTTTTGTAAAGCCTTTAGAAATATTGTACACTATGTTTTTGGGGTTAGGCTAATCAACTCATATGAGAAGTTAGATTAGTTTCAACAACCTACAACTTGGAACTCGCGAAGTCGATTAAAGTCTTGAATTGTCCAAACCCAAATCTTATTAAGTTGCCCAAGAAACAACCCTTATTTGGCCTTCAATGCCGAGTTACTAAGCTCGCCATGGGGACTCATGAATACGCCCATTTTTCGTGTTTATTTTCCCGTTGAATATAACTACTTGCCTGAATGACTTTTTAACCTACTAAGGGTTTTCATTAGATAACTTGCCACGGGTACTTACCCTCAATACAAAACTTGATTTAGTTCACAACTCACAACCGGGTTACACACTAGACTCTTCCATTACACAACTAGTTGTTGTTAAGTTTAATTTATTTATTTTTCATGTAATTGCACTGTGTTGCTAATTTTGTAACTACGACTTTGATCATCACCTATAAATAGGAGGGCCACTAGTCATGCACGAGGATATGAAATCACATTTAATCTGAACCCTAGAGCTAAAATTCTGTCACATCAAAGTCTCTTTAAATTTCTCGAATATTCTCTTTAGAATCTCTCTCTTTGCCCAACATTTTTAAAGGATTTGGCATCCCCTGAGATCGAATAAGGCCAACGAAATCCATGACTTTGATGTTTGAATGAAAGAAGGGATGTCTCAATCCTAGTCTAAATTGATCGCTATAAAAACAAAGCTCATTATCAAAGAGTGAGTATGGAAATTAAGTTATCATTAGCCATCATTGAGTCATAGGCTTTGAAGAAGAAGAGTATAGGAGGAACAAAATTGAGCATAAAGAGAACAAATAGCATGGCATGACCAAGAATAACAAGCAAGCAAGTGCACAAAGATGGCCTAAAGAAATTATCATTGAAGGAGAAGATTAACTTATAGGCCAAATAATGGAAGATGGCTACTACTATTATAACATCAATGCAATTATTCCACCAAGATTCTTATCAAAGCTAAAAGCCCACTCAAATGTTGATGTGACCATCAAGGATGACTTCACAATGTAAGTATGACTAGTGACTTCCTAATAAAGCTATAATGTTAAAGTGTATAATCGATTTCTAGTGGCCAACTTCTTCCAAAAGGCCGACTACACAATGAAGTCTAGCTTCTCAAGCATAAGGTACAACAATAAAAACAACAACATCAAATCTTTAAGTGAGGTTGGCTACATGAATCTTTTTTTCTCTCGAATTGTGTCATTTTAGAACAAAAAGAATTGTCACACATGTCATCCAATGACATTGAAGCCCCACAATGCACAATGAAATTGAGTAAAGAATGACCTCACAAGGAAGATCACCGTGCTAGATTAGTTGTCGTAGGATGAACTTGGCTCCAATTATAATTTGACTCGTTATATTCCTAGTGAATGTTTTAGGTGATCGAATCCATCTAACTTGGCAAAGTGACTGGCCTGTCAATTCAGCTTGGCTTCTACTTCTAAGGCATTCTCAGTTTACTTGGTAGAAGAGTTCAAATTGTGCAATTTTCTCCACGAAAAACTTTATCTGCTCAGCCATTTTTTGCCCTCTCAGCCCCTATGCTACTTCAAGTTTCCTCATTGCCACTGTCTCAACAAGCATACAGTTGCCTAAAGTCTCACGTTACCCAACACATTTTATTGTAAAGTCGCATATATAAGAGTCAGCCTCTTTCAACCCTCAGTATTGAGATAGTTAGGGGATTCACAAAGTTGAACATTCGCCTAAGGAACTCGGCTACTCTCCTAGTGTCACTCGCCAAGATCTAATTTTAAATAATTGTCTATTTTAAATATTATGTTCATCTACTAGAGCTGCTAATAATCATCCATATAAAATAATATATACAACAGACTAAGTGGAAACTATTTTTCATTTCATTTCTTCATAATATATATATTTCATTTCATCTTTCAAAATCATATACATTTGTCATTAATTTATCTCTACAATCAATCTATTTTAATGCATTTGAATGACTACAAAAAAATAAATAGAAAAAAAAAAACAAAAGAAATACCTAACACTACAATTTGATTTGCCTCACTCCACTAGGTTCTTATACTTCCCTGAAATTATGAAAAATCATATATTGAGCATAAGCTCAGTAAGTAACCAGAACCTATCACTGCACCCAATATACAGACAGCAAAATAATATTCATGTAATCATTCAAGTCAATAGCAGAGCATGGTTATCATGAATTCACATTCATGAGAATATATGAACATAAATATGACTTCAACATGAATAATATCAATAAGTATGAATAATAATTATAAAATTAATTAGCAATAATTGACTCAATTCTATCCTAACATCTTGTAAGAAGGCTGCATGAAGACTGTCATGTGAATTATTATAAAATGCAGTTGTACATTACTTCTATCAATTACCAATGCATGATAAAATCATGAATGTCATTTTTATGTTCTATGTTTTTCTTTTTTATAAGTGTCTATCACTATGCATGTGTTATGTCATGCATGCAGTATGTATCAATCTCATGTATCATGTATATAATGTATGAGTATTTGTATCAATGCCATTATGCATTATATTCACACATCATATCATTTATCGTTTAGCTTATGCAAGTTCATATTTTCATAATCATCATGTCATGAATGCATGTTCGTATGTAAGTCAAGATATCGAGCTAATCATTTGGTGTTTTCCTGTATATTGTTTATTGTCATATCTTGGCTAATTAGTGTGTCAGGTTGCTATCTTGTAAGAACCATCACTTCTGTCTTTTGAAATATCATTTTTACTTGTGACATTCTATCTTGTATCTTATATTTTGTGTTGGGATTATACCATAAACCTATAATTTAAATGAAGCCCACTGGTCCACACTTCTGTATAGGGTATCTTACTCCATCCAACCTGAATTAGTCTATAACTAGCCAACCTTTTTTGCATCACACAACAATGCTATATCTTATCAATCCTAATATCATAATGTATAACATGTGCTTCTAATGCATTAAGTAAAGCATCTCAATACTATACTATACATATACCTTCAATAATCTATAATTTACACTATGTTCATGAATTTGTACTCGATGCATGTTGTCATGCCAGGCCTAATGCAACGGTCCTAGAATGTTTACACGTGACTTTATTATTTTCGGTTTAGTTAAAATATTGTTGATGCAATTCTACCTAATGAAATATCATATCATACTAAAATGTACAAAATAATCATATATATTATATGTCAGAAGTTGTATGGTGAAAGTTGACTAAATCATAAGATAATATATTTTAATCATGTTAGAGAGATAAAACTTGGGATTTAAATCATTAGAAATAGAAGTAAGATTCAGGGTATCTATTATGATCATAACAACTTTCACAACTAGGAGAACGTATGGAAACACTTCATAGGCGAACTTCTTTCTATTCCCTCTCCTCTTCCTTTCCCCCTCTTCTCCTCTGTCTTCTCTTCCTATCCTTTTCGGCCAAGGAACCGAAAAATGGGGCTTTTGGGTATGGCTTGCTATTTTAAGTATAGAGTAGTGGTTTAAGATATTAAAAAAATAAAAAATTCTCTAATCCAACACATAACCCTCAAGACCTCAGTGTCTTAGCATTGCCCTTAGTTACTATACAACAGAGGAGACGACGCCGCAACACTGCTCGCAGCTACGCTATCACAACCATAACTCAAAATATAGAGAGGCTAACGCTGCTACATTCGCGGAATTCCATGAGGGTTATTTATAGGTCATTAATGGATCTTTAATCATTTAAAAAAACTGGGTTATTACACCTAGAATACTTGTCAAATGACTAGGAATTAAAACTAAAAGACTCTCCTTTGGTAATCAACCTCATTGCAAAACCCATCCAATGTTTTGGACTAGTAGTCAATTACAAGTTAAACTAATCTACCACGTAACTAGCTATATTGAAGTTCAATGCATGTATTTTTACAATTCTATAACACTAATCATGACCCTTAATTATTACTATTGGATTATTAGTTGTATACCCTCACCTATGAACTCTCATGTGTAATCATTATTTTTGGTGGAAAACACAATTGCATTCAAGTCTCTCTGAATCTCCCTAAGATTTTTCTAAATTTCAATTTCTTTGAATTCTCTACTTAGCTCATTTCAACTCTTCCTTGTTCGATCAAAGGGTTTTGATCAAGGTTGTGAAAATTGGACCAGACAATGAACCGGAAGACGGAGAGATGTAATAAATAATAATATTATTAAAAATTAATAAAATTAACATGATAATTATTATAGTCTAACCTTAAACCTCATATTCTAAGAATATAAACTCCGTAATTTTAGTAGATTATCTCTCAATATAACTAAATTATTAAATAGTTAAATTAAATTGAAAGGATGAATATAATTATATACTATAATTAAATTATTAGGCATATAGTTTAATTATATTATATTTATGAATATCTAATAATTTAATTATAATTAACTTTTACATTTAATTATAATGATAATAAATGAGATTTTTATAATATACATTATAACAAATTTATAATAAGAATAATATTCGATATAATATATAAATTTATAATATTAAAAAATTATATTATTAATTATTATAATATGCATTATAACAAGTATATAATATATAAATTTATAATACAAATTAAAAAAAAAAAACTTTGCAGCCCAACAAGCCTAAATTATGGTCCAATAAAGCCCAAACTCACATTCATGCTTATATCTTATTCATGCAATTTTTTTAGTCTAACATCATAGAGGAGTTTGAGATGGTTGTCTTTTAACTCTTTATATAGTGTAAAGTACACATTTTTAACAAAAAATATTTTGTGAAATGACATGCATATATTTATAATGTAATTAATCTCAATATGTAATAAAAATATTTAAAAAATTTAAAAGAATGTAATAAAGTGAAATATATCATTTATACTTAATTTAAAATAATATATATATATGGAACTGACTTGTTTTTTCCAACCGGGACCGGTTCACAGGTTAAACCATTAGTTTAGCCTGGTTCAGGCCAGTTCGATGCATAGCCAGTTTTTAAACTAGACTAGATTGGACAACTGATTGGTTTACTGTTGAACAGGTCGAACTGGCCGGTCTGATCTTATTTTTAAAACACTGGTTATGATCCTTGTTCTATCGAAGGGTTTTGATCGGGTCTTTTGTAGATCAATACTTCATGATAATCAATGAAACTTAGCAAAACTCTCACCACTTTGCTTTTTAGGCTCATTTCATACCTTTAATAGAGTATTGTCAATTTCTTAAAGACAACAATAAGGTTTCAATTGGGACGATTTTCTTGTTGCTTCTTATAGCAATTTTTCAGTACAAAAATTTTTTAAACTTAAAAGTTTTGTACTAAAAAATTTGTTTTATAAAACAATAAGAAAGTCGTCACGAAATCTAAATCTAACAATTATCTTATAAGTTAACCATCAAAAGCTGTCTTACATGTGTCACGAGCAAGCCCAAGCACATGTTGCCGACCCTAATTCATATTTAAGCAAGGAATCTTTATTAATTACTTCAATAACCCATGACTATCTACTTAATTGCTTATCTATGCATAACATGCATTGCTACTAAATACAATTTATGTTTTTGTTCATATGCGGGTTTACAGCAATCGAACTTAAAGAAAGAGCCTATAAATCTTAATTTATTTCCTCTGCAAAGTTATCAGTGTTGTGATCATTGTATTAAGCATTCATGTCTTGTTCTTCCCTCAATATCTTTGATCTCCTTATCAGTGTAAGAGGCTAAATTTCACATCTTTGAAGTCTAGACTTCAGATACCTGCAAAGCATTCAAGCACAAAACTGTCTAATGAAATGTAATTTCAGTCTTATCCTGCAGCAACTGATCTTCTCCAGTCAGGCCTCTTCCGTTGGGCCGGCGATGCTCGCTCTCTCAAAGAAGGCGACAAACCTTACATCGAAGTCGTGTGCTCGCCAAGCAATCCCGATGGTCTTCTCAAGACAGCCTCGGTTAGCTCCAACAGTGGAAAGGTAATCCATGACCTTGCATATTACTGGCCACAATACACCGCCATCACCAGTCCGGCCGACCACGATCTTATGCTCTTCACAGCTTCCAAGTGCACCGGTCATGCCGGAATGCGGCTGGGTTGGGCCATTGTCAAGAACAGAGAGGTTGCTAAGAGAATGATGAAGTTCATAGAGGTCAGCACCATTGGAGTTTCAAAAGACTCTCAATTGAGAGCAGCAAAGATTCTGAAAACAGTCTCTGATCAGTATGAGCTTGAAGCAGCAGAAGACTTCACCAAATTGTTCCATTTTGCCAGGAAGACAATGAGAGATCGATGGCAGACGCTTCGATTAGTCATTGCAGCTTCGGATGCCTTCAGCTTGCCAGTATTTCAGCCACAGTACTGCAACTTCATGAAAGAAAACACCTTGCCTTTTCCTGGTATATTTTCCAAATGGTTTAACATGCAGAGATTTAGACTTCGTCTGGGACGACTTTCTTATTGCTTCTTAAAGTGGTTTTTTAGTGCAATAACTAAAATTTTTGTCCTAAGAAGCCGCTTTAAGAAGTAGAAAGAAAGCCGTCCCAAACAAAGCCTCAGTAATATCAAAACTTTTATATTTACTTTTCAAAGGTTTCAATTTTTAAATAACAGCAAACATATTGCTGATATAAACTTATCTAAAGTGAATTTCATAACTTTTCTTGTATAAGTTATGATGTCATTTTGACATTTAAGTGTTATCTACATAAAGCATAAATATTTAGATGTTAGATATGTAAAAATATAAGAAATTATGATACGTAAACTGCTCTTTTTCCAGATTATGCTTATCATATGGCTTGATTTCCCATTTTTGCAGCTTTTGCCTGGTTGAAGTGCGAGCAAGACATCGATGATTGCGAGAGCTTCCTTCGACAAAAACACAAGATTTTAACTCGTGGTGGCAAGCATTTTGGCGCGGATGCAAAGCATGTTAGGATTAGTATGTTGGATCGTGTTGAGACTTTTGATATGTTCATCGAACGGCTTTCAGCGATCGATCTGTGATGGATTATGTTCAAGTTATTAGGTGATGTAGCTTTTTTGTTTTGGCTGAAAAGTTTATGTTTTTTCACTTATTGGTATGATGGTTATGTCAAATGCTGTTTATCTGCAGTTTTGATGTTTTGTTGACATGGAAGATCTCTCTTTCTTATGAGATTTTGAATGGGGAGAGGTCTATTGGTTATAAATATCTCTATAGTGTTAATAATATATTTTTTATTTTTTAGAAGTAAATTAAACTATAATAATAGAACATTTATATTCATTGATATTCTCACAAGAAATTAATTTCTTTGTTTTTAGTTTATTGAGGTGTAACGGTCTATTTGGAACAATTTTTCGTCAAACTATTTTACAGTTTGATATCATATTTTTATTTGACTATTATTTTAAGAAAATTTACTAATTGAAAAGTTATTTGTAATATTTAATGCGTTGTTTGGAATAGCTTTTCAGCTGTCCATTTAGGTCCTTCAATGTTTTATGATTCAGTTAAACCGAATCCTAGCCTGACCCAACACGAAAAAATACTTAATGTCTTCGTATCAATCTAACTCAAATCGTCACGAGTGTCTTACTTAAACTTGATTATCCAATTTAAATACAATAACAATAATATTAAGTCTTTATCTTACTAAGGAACTGATGAAATGAATTTTTTTTCTTCATCGTGTTCCATAAAGATTCAATTTTTTATTTGAATATAAAAACAAAGGACATTTATAATACTTTTAATCAAGTCTTTTTAGGTATATCTCTATCTTTCTTAATATAGGTTGGATCTAATATATTTACTCTCCTGATCGAGTCATCAGAAAGCCGACATTTTATGTGACCAAATATTTTAAGGTGACTCTCTAAATTTATTCGCCATTGTTGCTACTCCAACCTTTTCACATATATACTTATTTCACATTTTATCTCAAAGTGTAAAGCCATTCATCCACATAAGCATCTTTCTCCAACACTTAATTTTATGCTTCTCCTTTAATGGTTAATATTCTGCATCATAAAGCATTGTAGGTCTTATTACAATACTATCAAAATTTTCCTTAAGTTTGAGAAGCACTTTTCTACCACACAACAAGCTTGATGCATTCCCTCACTTCAACCGTCCAATTTGAATTCTACTTATTATATGCTGGAAACTTTGAACGGTAGAGTATATATTTTAGCGTTGTACAAAAATTTAGCACGCACAGATAAAAGTAACAAGGCTATAATTTTTTTACGTTAAAAACCTAAAAATGGAGAAAATTACGGTGCATAGCCTATTTGCAAAATTCATTATGTAGTAAGTGATATATAGATTCTCCTTTCTTCACTGTAGAAGAAGAGGAAGAGTATAAAAATCAAGTGTCCACAGATGAACATATAACATCTAACAACAGGGTTTTATTTTTCCTTTAGGGATTATAGAAAGCATATATCCATAGGTGGACAGTTATACTTAATAATAGGATTAAAACTTGTAAATATACTAAAGATTGTGTTGATTTCTGATGCTGATCGTTGGCAGCGTTGGTGGTTGTTAATAGTAATAACAGGTGGTCATCGAAAAGTGCAAGAAAGCTATCTCTAATTTTATTTAATCTTCCTCCCTCCCTCATGTGAAAAATGAGGGCCTATTTAAAGTGTTTTTAGTAGTGACATGCTATGTAAATATTAAGAAGATCTAGAACAAATTCGAAGTGCTCCATCAGACAATTAGTATTGATTCCCTTGGTCATAGAGCATTCGTCAAGCATTTAAGTATCTTTAATAATTTCAGAATTAAGTGATAATTTGCTCATTGGATTTGTCTCATCGAGGCGCTTGATTCAACTATAAGCATGTCTAAATTGAAGATTATTTGATTATCCAATTAATGTTAAAAAAAAAACTTCTAAATATACTTTAAGCCCTTAATTTGAGTCCATTTGGACTTGGATCAGATTAACATCTTGCTGCGACATTCAGTTTGACTAAAAGTTTGCTATGATTGGAGTTTGGATGGTCCCAAATTCAATATTAAAATTTTACAATCTAAATATGCCTCGAGATTCGTCCTTAATCCAGGAGATTTTTTTGTGACGTATCACTACTATATTTCACCATCTCTTTGAACAATAAGTCCAATATATCTAAAACATGAACTATTTTTTAACAACTTGATCACCCAAAGTCACAGTTCCACCACTAGATATATTACTACTAAAATTATAATAAATGTATTTATTTTTATACGTACTAAATTGAAAACTTTTAAACTCTGAAGTTGACCTTCATAATTTAAAATTTTCTTCTACTCCTTATCTTATCAACAAGAATAATATCATAAGCAAAAAACATACGTCAGGCTAAATCCACTTGCAAATGTCTAATAAGAAAAGCAAAAAAATTTGGGCTCCGACATACATATCCTTAATGACTTGAACATAAGCACTATTTATATCAATCTATTCTTATATAATTATATCAACATAAATTTAGAAATTATTAAATTTATTTTAAAAGTAATATAATACATATTTTTCATATATATATTTATATGACTAATTTTAAATCAAATAACATCATTTGTCTTTTTTTTTTCAAAATACCCATAAATGTTAATCAATTAACATCAACCGTTCAATATTCATCAAGATTCCCACATCTACAATCCCTTCTCGTTAGTCTCAAAAAGAAAGCTGTCAACTCGCATGAACTTCCCACCACACGTGTCATCCCCTTCCCACACGCGTCACTCCTCCCCTCCCTCTTAAAACCCTAACCCCGCTCTCACCTTCTCAACCAAAAATCTCCAAACCCTAACCCTAATGGCTGATCAAAAGTCCGATCTCCGCCACACCGGCGAGGAAATCAAGCACTACTTACGCGACAAAAGCCCGCCGGCTTCCAAAGCCGTGGCCGCCGTTATGCTCTTCCCCGTCGGCGGCTTCCTTCTCGCCATATCCGCTCTAACCCTAGTCACCACGGTAGTAGGGCTGGCGGTCACCACACCGCTTTTTTTCCTATTCAGCCCAGTTCTCGTCCCCGCCGCGGTAGTCATTGCGCTCGCCGTGGTAGGCTTTCTCGCCTCCGGCGCCTTCGGGCTGACGGCGGTGACGTCGCTGTCGTGGATCGTGAACTATTTGAGAAGTCGCAGCGGGCAGGTCGGGAGCTCGGTGCACGAGCAGGTGGAGTACGTGAAGAGGAGGGTAGGGGAGGCGGCCGGGCAGGTCGGGCAGGTCGGGCAGAAGAGTAAGGAGGTGGGCCATAGCGCTCAGAGCAAGTAAAAAAGTACATGCAGTACGGTTATAGTACTTTGTGTACTTGGAAGAATATTTAGTACTTGTATGCTTTATTTTGTTTTTTGTAATTTTTTTTTAATGTTGGTGTTTGTTATTGGAGAAATTATTTTGTGCGGAATCAGAATGCATTCTCAGACGAATCTGGATGCGCCACGTTACCGAATGTATTGGGCCCCGGTGATGTGGCATGCCCAGATTCGCCTTCGAACACGTTCGGATTGCGCACACAATAATTTCTCTTGTTATTATGGTTTAGAAGTGGTGAGCTTATGCTTTTGCATGCTATGTGTCAATGTACTTTTTTTTTTTTTGAGGTATTTCATTATTATTGTGGCTTAGAAGTGGTGATCCTATAATATAATGTGATAACAAAAATTAAAAATCATAATATTAAGTGTATATTATCATTGAATTAAGAATTTAATTATAATTATAATTTTCATTCACAAAATGGCATTATATATGTGGGTTGTGTTATAATATTCTCAACAATAGAGTGAGAGAGAAACATTTAAGTTTTTTAATAAATTTAACACATAGGAGTTAAAAAAATGTATAAATATTAAAATTTCAATATAAGATTCAGAAAGAAAAAAATAAAAATGTATGTAGAAGTCATAAAAATCAACTATTCTTCATCAATGGAGCATATTGCACTATAAAATTGAAGTTTGGAGAACGCATTTATTCTAATAAGAGATTGTGGGAGAAATGTTAGAATGATGGTCTAATGAAAGTTGAAGTGATAAATGGTTAGGTGATGATGGTTGTGATAGTAGTTGAAATATGGTAGTTAGACAATATTTAACATAATATAATAGTGGCAGATGATGACAGCTGGATATAGAAATCAGACTATGGTTGTCAAATGATGGTGACGACGACTGGTGGTGATCGTTGGTGTTGAAAGTCAAGTAGAGCATTAGAGTTTTTTGAATATCTAAACTTACTTCATATTGAAGTTCAGGACTCATTCATTTGGAGAATGATGATCTGTTCATAATATTTTGTGATTAGCTTTTTGATAAATCTCGCCAAAGTTTCATAACTCCATCAAATCATTTATATTGAATGTTTTGATTATAGATCATTCATTTAGCATTTAAATGTTTTAATAATTTCATAATTAGTGATTTTTAGCTAATAGGGCAGGATTTAGAGATCGTTTGATCCCTCAATTAAAATTTTTAAAACTTAATTATATTTTAGGTGTTTGATTTGAGACTTAGATCAGATCACATTTAGTATTATTAGGTTTTTTCTCATATAGATGTTCAATTCAATTCAACTGTGTTAACTAACTAAAATCAAAGTGAGGGTCTTGAATTTAATTCAAGAAATATTTTATTCAAATTTTACCTCAAGAATAATTTCTAATTGAGATGAATTTTTTAGTGATATCATTTTCCTCTATTTTCAGTCTTTCACAAATTATAATGTCAAAATAATTATAAAGCGCAACCGCTATTTGAATGTCGGCACATTGAATGGAGCACATATTGTTAAAATTTTACATTTAACTCGCCAAATTTACTTAAAATTAATTGTAGAATCATT